GTCTAACTGAGTGGAAGACAGCAACAGTCCCCATAAGACACAACTACACCCACACCTCCTGCAGCTTCACTTACTGAGTGAGAGCCACCACTTCCTTCTCCACCAATGGGCCAATGATAGACAACCACCAAGAAGAGGCTGACTCACTCTTGGCTGCTCTTCACAACCAGTTAACAGAGATCTAAATACAACAACACAATGTCTCAGAGACAACAGATCATCACAGTTCACACAAAGAAGCAAGATAAAGTGGTAGAAACAAGGGAGCAGGATACAGACCCAGAACACATCCCTGAGAAGAAGCAGCATTGGAACTCTCTGATAACAAATTCAAAAGAATTATATTTAGGTATCTTCAAAAGATTGAGAGACAGACCAAAGAAAACAGAAAAAAACCTTAGAAGAATTTTGGAAGAAAATATGAGAGCAAAATGACAAATAAATGAAAACTTAGAAATAATTCTAAATCTACAGATAGAAATCCAGAAGATTAATACTAAATTGTCAGAAATAGACAACACATTGAAAGAGAAAAGGAGTAAAATTGATGCAATAGAAGACAGAATTAATGAGATTGAAGACAAACACTTGAATACTTCTTTGGAAAGGGATCAATCAGAAAAAAGATCAAAACAAAATGAAGAAAGCTTAAGGTTCATGTGGGATACCATCAAAAGGAATCACTTACATGTCATTGTAATTCCAGAACAGGAAGAGAAAAACAAAACCACTGAGAAAATTGTCCAAGACTTGCTGGAGGAGAACTTCCCTGATATGATGAAAGATGAGAAGATATCCATTCAGGAAGTCCAACGAACCCCAAACAGGATAGACCCCAAAAGAAAATCACCAAGACTCATCATCATCAAACTCACCAAAACCAAAGACAAAGACAGAATCCTGAAAGCAGGATGGAAAAAACAAAAAGTTACTTACAAAGGACAGCTAGTAAGAATAAGCTCTGATTTCTCAGCAGAAACTATGCAAGTGAGAAGACAATGAGATGGTATATATAAAACCCTGAAAGAGAAGAATTTTCAGCCAAGAATTATATACCTGGCAAAATTGTCCCTCAAGTATGATGGTGAAATTAGGAGATTTCCAGAGAAGCAGAAACTAAAAAAATTTGGTAAAAACAGACCAACCTTACAAGAGATACTAAAGGGAATCCTTTGAACAGAGAACCAAAAATAACAAATAACAACCGACCATTAATACACAAGATGACATATCCCAGGAACCACAGCTATGGACATATCCAAAGTAAAATAAGCTTACAAGACTGTAAACAGGGAACCAGAGAGAGACATCAAGTGGCAAGTGAGGACAACTACAAACAAAAAAGAGGGAAAATACTGTGTAGTTACAGAACTTCTAAATGGTGAAGAAGTAAAGAGAGTTGCAAGATAGAACGGACTGTTCTAATCTCAGGAAGAAAATTATAAATCACAGGGTAACCTCAAAGAAAAATAATAAACCTTCATATCACAATAAAAAAGAGGACAAGCACAAATATTCAGCAAATACTAAAACAACAGCAACAAAGGAAATGATAACAGGATTCATAAACATAATGAGCTCAGCACAGAAAATAATATGGAACAAAGAAATCAGGGACACCATGAGAAAACACATAAAAAAATGACAGCAACAAATTCATACTTGTCTATCATTGCACTGAATGTTAATGGATTAAATACACCACTCAAGAGACAGAGAGTTGCAGATTGGATAAGAAAACAAAACCCATCAATATGCTGTCTACAAGAGACACACCTTAGAGACAAAGACAAAAATAGACTAAAAATCAAAGGTTGGAAAAAGATATATCAAGCAAATGGCAACCATAAAAGAGCAGGAATGGGAATATTAATTTCTGATCAAAATGACTTTAAGACAAAAACCGCCATATGAGACAAGGAAGGACATTATATAATGATTAAAGGATCAATTGAACAAGAAGATATAATCATAATAAATATCTATGGTCCCAATGAAAGAGCCCCAAGAAGTGAAGGCAGGAATGCAAACAGAAACCTAAGCACTAATGTTCATTGCAGCACTTTTCACAATAGCCAAAATGCATAAGCAACTGAAATGTCTATCATCAGATGAATGGATAAACAAAATGTAGTGTATACAAACAATGAAATATTATGTAGTTTAAAGAGAAATGAAGTTCTGATACATGCCACAACATGGATGAAACCTGAAACCATTATACTGAGCAAAATAAGTCACTCACAAAAGGGCAAATAGTGCATAATTTTACTAAAATAAGCAAATATATAGAAATTACAGATAATTAATAGTTACCAAGAATGGGAGGCAGAGGCAAAGGAGAAGTTTGTGTTTGGAGGTATTGAGTTTATGTTAATAGTAGTAGAATATTTTAGAAAAGGATACTGATAATGGTGACATGACATGAAAAATGTAATCAATGCCATTGAACTGTAAATGCAGAAGTTCTTGTATTGACTGATGTTTTTGTATGCATATTTTTGCCACAATAAAAAATATTTGCTCAAAGCTTATTATCAGCACTAATATTAAGTTAATTTTATTGAGAAGTTTTCAAACTCTATGATGCACTAGGTACTGAAATTTAGATGTATTTAAAAAAAAAATTTTATCCCACCTTTAGGACAGGGTTCCTTTTGCTTTCACTATTTGGGCTCAAACCTCTTTCTTGCCTGAACTCTCATAGACTTCACCCAAGTAGAATAAAGACTCTAACATCAGCCCCAAAACTTTATGGTTTTATAATACACACAATGAATATTCTTTCAATGTCGAAAGGTAAAGAAAGAAGTGGGTGACGTAACTATCGTGGTGAATAATGCTGGGGTAATATATCCAGCCAGTCTTCTTAATACCAAGGATGAAGAGATTGCCAAAACTTTTGATGTCAACACGCTAGGACATTTTTGGGTGAGTATGAATCAAAAAAAATCTCTGGTTTGTACATGTATGAAAATCTCCATTTTAGGATCATAAAGTTCATAACTGAGTTCACAGCCTTCTGATTAGAAGATTGGCCAGAAGATCCTCGCCTTAAATCAAGAGTAATCAAAGTAGTTACAGTGGTAGCAGCACAGTGTCTCTGAAAAAGGCTATTAGAATGTAAGCTGCTTCATCTGTCTCATCCTCCAGTATCTAACACAGAGCCTGAGACATACCAGGTACTGAACAAATATTTATGGAATAGAGGAAGTAGCAGATACAAATAGAAAACCCTAAATATGACTATAGCATCATCTAGGGAATTTGGGGACTTCCAAATTATGCTAAGTAAAATGTCACTCAAAATATCCTAATTTAATAGAGCTTCTCAGAGGAGAGTATGTGATTATGAAGGACTTTCACTTACTAAGAGACATATTTCTGTAGTAGTTGGAGTTTAGTAAAAACCATTATAACTTTGTAAAAATGTGTACTTTTTTAGAGAAAGAGAAGCAGCTGGAAATTAAAATGACAATATGGTAGTTAAAGGAGCACACTCTGAGCCAAATTCCAAACCAGTTGCCATCAAGTCAATTCTGACTCATAGCAACCCTAGAGGACAAAGTAGAAACTGCTCAGAAGAGTTTCCAAGGCTATGATCTTTATGGAAGCCGACTGCCACATCTTTCTCCTGCTGGCCTTTTGATTAGCAGCTTAACAATTTAACAACTGCTTCACCAGGGCTCCTTCTGAGTCAGACTATGTGGGCTCAAATCCTAACATGAATAATTTACTTAACTTCATTGAGCCTGTTTTCTTATATGAAATATACATAATAGTATTTACCCCACAATGTTATTGGGTAGAGTTAAGGAGTTAATACATATAAAGCACTTAGAACAGTGAACAATAAATATTAGTATTATTTCATGGTGATACCATGTGTGCAAAGCAGAACTGCTCCATTGTGTTTTCAAGGCTGTGACCTTTCAGAAGCAGATGGCATGTGTGGGTAGGTTTGAACTGCCAACCTTTTGGTTAATAGTCAAGCACTTAACCATTTGTGTCACGCAGGGACACCCCCTATTTTAGAGTAGAGGGATTAATTTGATTTTCCCTTTTATCCCCTTAATTATTAAACAATAAGCATATGCTGATTTTTAAGATAAAACCATGTTTTAATAACTACTCTGACACACCATGGTGTCACCATGAGTCAGAATCAACTCAACAGCAACTAATGACAACAACAACAACAGTACTATTTCAAGGGAAAATAGAAGAGGTAATGTTGGTTGGGTAAGGTGGTCAGGGAATGAATCCAGTCTAAAAGAGAAAAATATCACTTGAGAATGACAAAAAGATCAACAATCAGAAATAGTAGCATTTCCAACAAAAATCTAATTAGCTATCAGGAGTTAATACTAGAACTTTAAGGAGCTCTGGTGGCATAGTGGAGAAGGCATTTGGCTGCTAATCAGAGTCAGTGGTTCAAACCCACCAACTACTTGGGGGAAGGAAGATGGGGCAATCTTCTACTTCTGTAAAGATTTACCCAGTAGGGGTTGCTATGAGTCAGAATCGACTCGATGGCAGTAAGTTTAACCTTCTCTTTTCTATAAAGCTTTGAGGCTAGAAGTTTGGTGACAGTTGTCAAGGTACATCTTTTTAGTGCTTTAGGGGAAATACATAGTGTACGTTCACTGTGTCCTCACTTCATGAAATTTTAAAACTGAAAAGACATTAAAATAAAAAATCGCCACTCAGATGTATGCAGGAATTTGGAATACTTTTTGATGGGACTCTCAACAAGTTCTATATCCTTGGCTGCTGAAACTTGGAAAACAGGGCTGTACAGACCTCTTATAATTGATTAGTTTTGTAGGAAAGTGACGTATCAATTTCCATGCCCTTAGTAGAGAGCAATTACACACCTTATTCTCCTAACACTGTAATATTAGTGTAGAACTGCAAGAAAACCTGGATTCTGGAAGAGAGAGGAAAACAGTATTGTTGCCCTACCTTCCTCAGCCCCTCACACACATCATGCTCCACAAACTCTATCGAGTCCTCATGTATTAGTTATCTAAAACAAAAAAAACAAAAAAAACTCACTGCTGTCGAGTTGATTTCGACTCCTAGCGACCCCTCCTTAAGTTTCCAGGGCAGTATCACTATGGAAGTAGATTGCCCCATCTTCCTTCCAAGGAGTGGCTGGTGGGTTGATTCCCCAGCCTTCTAGTTAGCAATCAAATATGCTTTAGGCATTACATCACCAGAGCTTCTTAGTTATCTAAAACTGGTCACAAAACTCTGTGGTTTAGAACATCAATAAGTATTTATTTTCTTTTCACAGTTTCTGTGGGTCAGGAATTAAGCACTCAGCTGCTAACTGAAAGCTCTGCAGTTTGAACCACCAGCCACTTTATGAGAGAAAGACAAGGCAGTCTGCTGTAAAGATTTACAGCCTTAGGAATCCTATGGGGCAGTTCTACTCTGTCCTTTAGGGTTGCTATGAGTGGGTATTGACTCGCTGGTACTGAGTTTGAGTTTTGTTGTTATTGTTGTTTAGTTTGACAGTTTGGGGTTCTGACTCTCATGAAATTACAAAAGATACAGGAGTAGGTGTGCAAAGTACTCATAAAATATTATTGATATTTCTCACAACAAAGTAAAGCTTTTTGGAGAAAAGAAATCCTTTGTTTTCTGTAACATCAATATGTAATGCATAGTATTTCAAATAGGGAGATGCAAAATTTGATCATGATGCATAAGGATTGTGGGTCAGTACTGAACTCTTAGTTTATTCAACTCAGCTGTCTTGATGCAGGTACACAGGATTTCAATTAAACTAATTGGAATGATAAAGCTCAAAACCCAAAAATGACATGCTACCAGATTATTATAGGGCATTCTTTTAGTTCTGAAAACTCTGAATTTTCTCCTTGATATTCCTTGAGTAATATATCCAAAAAGAAACAATTTGATTCCTTCTGAAGCAAGAAGGAGTAGTATTAGAGTGGGTTCTTGGCATGTGGTTCTTGATATAACACTGAATGCCAGCTCAAACAAATTAAATGTTTGTCTTTCTATTTCTGTCATTTGCACAGAAGTAATCATGGGATTTTGGCATGCTTTTCATTTCACTGCAAAATTTGTTTCAAATACCATTCTGCCTTAACAAACCTTATTTGGAAACCTAAAGCTTATGTTGTTGTTTCTCTTCTTCCTGCAATTTTCCTTAAGATTACAAAAGCCTTTCTTCCATCAATGATTAAGAGAAATCATGGTCATATTGTCACTGTGGCTTCAATGTGCGGCCACAAAGTGCTTCCTTCTATGATCCCATACTGGTAAGTATCTCTTTCTAGCAGTGTTATACGTTTTTACACTCTAAAGGATTATTTGTCTTCATATTCCAGTCGTCATAGCAGGGTAATTTGCATTTATATAATTTAAATATTAGTTTAGAATAATTTATTTAAAATGACTTATCTTAAAACAAGGACACTGCTTATAATTTAAATATTTTTAGATCCTGAAAACTCCTCTGTAGAGAGCAATGAAAGAAAACAATAATGCCAAGCATTATTTCTATTGTATCTTGAAATGAGTAGATGTTGATTAAGAGAAACAGGAAACCCACAGACTAAGAAGCAAAACATGTGAAAGTCCAAAGGAACACATATCTGTGCCATGCCTGGGTGCCCAAGATAAGCCATCAAGAGTGGCTTCTGGATCAAAACATTTTCCAATGTGCTTAAGGTGCTTGTGCCATGAAAGGTCATGTGTGTGTGTGTGTGTGTGTGTGTGTGTAACCCTCAGCCTGATTAAAAGACATTTCCGACCAAAGACATGAAGAGAAGGAGGTGGTAGGCTCTAAGGATACACTATTTGCAAAATGTCCTTTCTTAGAAAATCCATTAATGGCATCTTATTTCCTTCTTTCTGCCTGGTATCGACCTCATAAACCAAACCAAACTTACTGCCAACGAGTTGTATCTGACTCATAGCCACGCCTCCTTGGGTTTCCGAGATGACATCACTATGGAAGTAGATCGCTCAATCTTCCTTCTGAGGAGTGGCCGGTGGGTTTGAACTGCCAGGCTTCTGGTTAGCAGTCAAATGCCTTAGGCACTACACCACCAGAGCTCCTATCAATCTCATAGAAAAATTTTAATTTGTCAACATTTTGGCTAACGCTTTTTGCAACTGCCAGCAAATGAGTGCTAGAGAGTAAGTTTGTGTATAGGTAACTGGTTAATTTATTACTTACTTATGCATACATAGGAGCTCTAGTAGCATAGTGCCCAAGACCTTTGACTGCTAACCAGAAGGCTGGTGGTTCAAACCCACCAGCCACTCCTCGGAAGGAAGGTTGGGCAATCTACTTCCATAGTGTTAATGCCTCAGAAACCCAAGGAGGGATTGCTATGAGTCGGGTTTAACTCCACAGCAGTGAGTTTGGTTTTTCCCAACTCCTGCAGCTGCAGGGTCTGATGAGCTCAAGGTTGGCAGGCAGTATACCAGCTGTTGACTCCAATGAATGATGAATCCAAGATCTCCAGGAACCAAGGGGTGGACGGTGATAGTTGGAGTTGTGTGTCAACTTGGCTGGACCACAATTCTGTGTGGTTTAAGCAGTTGTGGTGTGGGTTATTCCCATGAGGGAATCAGATATATATGTTTTAAGCAGCCAATGCATCGAAAGGGAGTTTCCCTAGGGGTGTGGCCTGCTTCCAATATATTTATGGACATCCTGGGAAAAGAGACACTCTTCTGTGGATCGGGATCCTGTTGTGCTGCCTACAACTGTCCATGAGTGAACAATCCACCATTCAGCCTGGAGATCTTGGATTTGTCATTCATTGGAGTCAACAGCTGGTGTACTGCCTACCAACCTTGAGCTCATCAGCCCCTGCAGCTGTGTGAGTTTGGAAAAGGCTCCAACTTGACATTTGATCCAAGAACTTGAAATTTGCCAGCTTCTATAAATGTGTGAGCCATTTTCCTAAAATAAATTTCTCTTTCTCTATATGTATATACAAGTTTTACTGGTTTTGCTTCTCTAGAGAACCCAGCCTAAAACACTGCCCATGAAGTGAATCATATATGTAGCTAAGCACATTCTACGGATGGACTAGAGCTCCCACTTTCAGGTTTATAGCCTAACCAGAGGCTTAGTAGTTCTTCCAATGTATGAAGAAATTAGATGGTGCCAGCTATCAAATAGACTATCTAGGGTCTTAAAAGCTAGTCCTAAAACAAGCAGCCATATAAAGGAGCCATCAAACAGTCTGTGCAGTAGAAAGTACACTAATCTAAATGTAATCAAAAGCATTTAAATAAAATCCATGATCAATGATCAAGAGGAGGGTATGCATTAGAGCTTAAATTCTAAAGCACTGGTTTATAGAAGGCTGTGATCTACAGTGGGAGCCCTAATTCCATTTTGAGTCTTGATATAAATTCAGACATCACTTAAATTATTTATGTTACTTCCCCAGTGTTTGCTGACCATTAAGCCAGCAATGTGACTATGCTTAGATAAGTCAAAACAAGCCCAGAGAGAGGCAATTTGCCCATGGGAAGAGTGTGGTTGAAAGTAGTTAACTAGTGTGCAGAAAGGTTCTCACATAAAGAACTAGGGAACTTGCCTCAGCATTTACCAAAAATGGTCGATCAGATGCATGTTATCTAATTTAAATTAAAGGTTCCTGATGACTTTGACTCAGGCTCACCTGATCATGAGTCATACTCCAACCACCATGTATCTAGGTAATCAAAACCCCACTCTTGGTACCATATTCTATTGTGGTTACCTAGTGCCTCTCTGACAGGAATATACCACAAATGGGATGTCCTGATCAAACAGGAGTTTTATTCTCTTGCAATTTGGGAGGCTAGAAGTCTGAGTTCAAAGTGCCAGGCTCTAGGAGCTGTGTGAAAGCCCCATGACCTTGGGCTTCAGCTCTGCCTCTTGCTCCCAGCCCACTGAAGCTAGAGGCAACTCTTCATTCAGGCAGCTATTAGCTGCTGATGCTAACAAGCCCAAGGGTGACAAATAAAATGGCACAGTCCTGATGTTACCAAACCACACGGCAGACCATTGATTCAAGTCCATCGAAAGTCCCAGGATTGGCACAGCATGGCAGGCTGCTGAATAATGACATGGCTACATGCAGGGTTCAAGCATGCCATAAGCTAGAGACCATTCCCAAAGCTGTTTCTTATATATGGGAAGCACACCATATACACAATGCAGCTACCCAGTTGCTCCAATAGATTCTACCATGGAGTTAATTACCAATCTCACCATGGGGAATAACTACATTCAGCCGCCCAGCCATTCCACCAGGCCTAGCCAAGTTGACACACAAACATAGCCACCACAGCATACATATCAAAGGTTACAGTTATTCAAGAACCAAATTATTTCTGACACTGAATGCATGCAGTCACAGATATCACTAAATTTCAAAGTAGTAGTAAGTGTTGGTGCACACATATGTGATTGTTAAAAATTGCCTCTGTGCTGTCTTAAAACACATGACAGAGATAAAACATTTGCTATTATTAATGCTTAAAAATGTAGAAATACAACGTAATAAGATTTCTCCTCTTTTTTTTTCTTCTCTCTCAAGAAAGTAACCAGCCTTTAATTTTAGTGTCGTATTGTCTCTTGGGTCAAAAATAACAATTAATATTTATATAGATCCTTACACATAATAAATAGTTATGCACATACTATCTGATTTAATCTTCTAAGCAGCCTTGTATTTTGATTATCTGCTTTTTAAAGATCAGAAAATGAAAAGAAAGTAAAAGGACACACACATACAAAGTTCATCTGGAGTCTTTTGAATCCAGATCATAACAAAGAAATTAAGAAGTGAAAGTGGCAACCAGTGTCAAGAGAGAAACCATAAACTTACCCAAAGACAGAGGAGAAATATGCAAAGCCTGTATTGACAGAAGGTTGTCAATACAGACTTTAGTTATGTAGTATTTCTAAATATATTTTTTCTTGATTCATATTTTCCAAATAACAACAGTGATAAACACTAACTAGAAACTAGTTTGAATATTGAATGGAAAACCTTACCTGTAGGGTGAGAAAAAAAGAAAGAGGACACATTGAGCCAGTCATTTAAAGTTATTATTATTTATTCTATTACTATCTGAAAGTGACCAAACATGCAAACAAGATGTATTGATTATCACTGGTGATTGGAATGCAAAAGTTGGTAACAAAGAAGAATCACTAGTAGTTGGAAAATATGGCCTTGGTGATAGAAATAACACTGGCGATCACATGATAGAATTTTGCAAGACCAATGACTTATTCATGGCAAATACCTTTTTTCAACAACACAAACGACAGCTATACACATGGACTTCACCAGATGGAGTACACAGGACTCAGATTGACTACATCTGTGGAAAGAGGTGATGGAGAAGCTCAATATCTTCAGCCAAAACA